AGGGGGTCAGACCAGATGATCATAATGGTCCCTTCTGACCTTAAAGTCTATGAGTCTATGAGTCTATTTTTCTAATGCTGCTCCCATTGGTGGCAGGGTGGACATGCTGGTTTCTGATTGGCTCGAGCTTGTGTATTTTTACCCTTGTGGGTGGTTAACAATTAGCAATCCTGCACGTTGACTGTCTGGATGACATCAGTCTGTAAGCGTAGGGTTACAGCCACAGTTGGTGGTAGTAAGGTGACCAGCTCATTGGGACAGAGAGAATGCAGATCTAATAGATAAAATCATTGGCATTGTTCCAACTCACTGAGGAGGGAGCAGAACGAAATGGCTTTAGGTATCTATTATAGTACGGTGACCTTTTTATAACAAGACTTCTTTAATATTTAGTAAATTTGTACTAGTTGCAAAGATGAAATCTCAATAGATTTCTCGCAAACTGTAACTATCTTATTAAATATAATGCGTGTGTGTCTAGGACTCTGTTCTGTCACCCTCTGGGCATTGGGGTGTGGTCTCTTCTCTTCCTTATCCTCATTATGTTATCAGAACAAAGCCTCTCTCCCTGTCCTCAGTGGAGCTTTACCCTTCTTCACAAAGTATGTCTACATTGCGACTTCGTTCAGCAGTGTGTACAGAACAAACATGGGTAGTTCTCCTGGCATAGGGATAAACAGGAGTGGAAACGGTGAGGAGCTGCGTAGGTGGGAAGAGTAAAGACACACCTGAAGGGTGTAGATGCGTACCTGAGTACATACCTACATGGCTCCCTACTTGCCTAAGCCACACCTCCCACACCTGAAGGGAAAGGTTCTGGTGGCGGGGGGGCAGGAGGGGCGGAGAGAAGGGAGCGGGGAGCTGCTGAAGCCTTTCCACACTTCACTGACACATGTAGCTACACACTGCAGTGTGGACGCAGCCTGCTTTTCACTGCGGCGTGTAGCGAGATGTACACTACACACCAACAGCTGGTGTGTAGTGTAGATGTAGCCTTAGCATATGCATGCAGGCGATCTTGGTTTGATTTCCAGGGCTTACGGCTGAGGGAGTTGGGGAGGTAATGGACATAGTCTCTGGAGCCAAGTGTATCGACCCCCCCTACAAGTAATGAAGGAGTGACACTGATTGCCAGTTACTCGTGGGGGAATTCCGCACCACTGTGCAATGCAGAATTTTGCAAAAATGAACATTGTGTGTGCAGAATTCCCTCCGCCCCCCAAATGGGCTGCAGTGCTGCTGGCCGCCATTGGACCTGGCCGAGCCAGCTTGCACATAGTAGACACCGGGGGGGGGGGGGGGGAGGAGGGAAAGGGAGCTAGAGGGTTTCTGGCAGCTGCAGTTCCCAGCATGCCCTGAGAGAAGATGATGGCAGCACACAGGAAACTCCATGCAAGCGTGGGACCAAGCATCAGGCTGTTTCTCCCTCTGGATCCCTGGGCTGGGAGAACCATGTCTGGGCTCTGTGGCAGGAGAAGGGGTGCAGTTTCTCCCTCTGGATCCCTGGGCAAGGGGGCACCCTGTGGCTGGGCTCTGGGGGGAGAGGTGTTGTGGGTGTCTGGCCCCCCCAGCTGGGCTCTGGGGGTGGGGGAAGGGGACAGAGAAACAGGAACTGGGTTGTCATAAGTGTTTCTTTAATTCTACTCCTGGGGGAATTTTTGTGTGTGTGTGTATTGTTACAAGCATACTTGCTGACAGGTATTTTGAAATAAATTACCAAAATAATTGAAAACTGGTGTGATTATGTCATATTATTTTGACAAATAAAAGTTGCAGAATTTTAAAATATTGTGCGCAGAATTTTTATTTTTTTGGTGCCGAATGCCCCCAGGAGTAGCCGTTCTAGGATTTGCCAGGAGTCATTGTAACTGGTATTTTGATAGCACAAGACACGAACATGGTGCAGCACAACAGGCAAACTGCCAGACATTGAAATGTCCCTGCTCTGAAGTGCTTACCTACTAAAGGCAAAGGACACCAATTTTGAAGAAAGGATTAAGAGAATGGGATGATCTTAAAGAGTCTACCAGGACACTGATGGACCCTCAAGAAGCACAAAGATTAATAGAGAACATAACAAAAATGTAGCTGACAAATGTGACACTCACTTACAGTATCAGCTGAAATGCAGACACTGTCTCTGAGGTATTGTGATTGTATTTTCAAAAAAATAATCTATTGAATTGGAAAATATTTCTCCCTCCCCGCAGTTTAGAGTGGTTAACTCCTGCGTGTCATTAATGCCAAGAGAGAATTATTTCAATCCATCAGGACATGATTTTACCTGGAGAGCATGGCCAACAAGGCACGTTCTTATTGCCTTAGCTGAAGTAGCCCTCACCTATCTCAGCCAAGAAAAGACAGCGGAAGATGGAAACAGGAGGAGGGAACAATGAACAACATAAATGGCAACTTCCAAACTATTATGTGAAATTTGTATGTGAAATCCCCTTAAAATTTTTAACTATACGAGCTCATGTATCCACAATGCCCTATAGTGTTGGATGTGAATAAACTCCTTGTATCACTGTGGGAGTGAAGTTTGGACTTTTTCCCTCAGTTTAATAGGGTACCATGCATTGAATCATCATGCAGTTTTGCTCTAATTGGACAGGGATGTTAAATCATCTCAAGTGAGTAAAAATCTCCAGTGTATTATATTTCACTTGTGCTACATTATTTATCTCTGCTTTTCATACATTTCAAATCTGGTCCATCAAGGTACTTATATGGCTACCCTCACCATTGTAACCGACTAGCTATTTAAAAAAAACAAACCAATCTCTCTTTCTCCTACAGCAGCCAATAAACAGGAAAAATAGTCTGATTGATTTGAGCTCGGTTGTGGCTTTGTTGTAGAACAGCTAATTATAATGGGTGTTACTGTTATATTCAAAAAGCACAATGAAGATAGAGAACAAGAGCTAATGTATGAAAAATAATTTGTACACCATACATTTGTAAAATCATTTATAAAAGTACAAAATGATTAAGGAACAGAGCAAAATTCCAAGGTGCTTTACAAGATCTTCATCATTTATATTTACAAAACACAGTGTTCATAGTGTACAGGTTTACGTGCATAAGGAATTCTAGTACTATAAATAGCACGCTTTATTTAATATTACTGTGGATGTGCAGTGGTTCAAAATTTGTTTTTCTTTGTGCTTGTTTTTCCAAAGGCTTTTTAATGTTTCAGTGACTTATAAATAGGGTGAAATAATATTAAGTCTGGTCTTCTCATGGTATTTGAAGTCAAAATTTGCAAGCCATGTACCCAAATATAGTCTCTCAAATTGACTAAATAATCACGTCTCGCTATGGATTTAAGTTCTGTAGTTTGGACACAAAGGATGGTGGAAAGATCATAAGAAGACTAGAGCTTGTGTTACTTTGGGCTAATAAATGGTTCCCTTAAGGAAAAAAAAGCACACAAAAGATAAATATTTAGCTATTTGGGTTTATTCAATCCAAATGCAGAGCTCCAGTATCAGCTTAGCGGACAGTCACGTGAAAGGTCAGGGAAGGGAGGACATTCAGGGTACGTCTACACTGCAGTAAAAAACCCACGGCACTGAGTCTCAGCGGCCGGGTCAGCTGACTCAGGCTTGGGCTGCAGGGCTAACATTGGCAGCGTAGATGTTTGGGCTCGGTCTGGCACCTGGGCTTTGAGACCCAACCCCCTTGCAGGGTCTCAGAACCAGGACTCCAGCCTGAGCCCAAACATCTACGCAGCAACCTTATAGACCCGCAGCACAAGTCAGCTGACCTAGGCCAGCTGCGGCCTTGCCCACTGCTCTTTTATTGCAGTGTAGACATATCCTCGGAATGAAGTACCCTCAAACTGCAGCCTGCTGAGAATAGTGTGTTAGCTTTGGAGCTGTTGCCATGTACTGTAACAAGAAACAACATGATGACAATTTCTAAGGTTATACAAACAGTGAGGAAAACCTTCATGAATCAAACTTGAAATTCAGCACGTTATTTTCCTTACCATGTTTGTTGGTTACTGAAAGCCATGGCATAGCACCCATATAAACAATTACCTGCCTCACAGCCTATCCTGGACGGTCATTAGAACGCTGGATTTGTGATAGCACACTCATTTCATTGCCATCATCACAGAGTTATTACTTTAGCTTACTGTGGAATGAAGCAAATGGAAGAGCTGGGCTAAGAGGACAAGGGGAGAAGTACCTTCAGCAGTAACAAAGAAAATGCACAAATTCCAGAAAGGTTTCAGAGTAGTTGCATAACCAGGAAGAGGTGGCCCTGACTGCTACTCCTGGCAATCCCGTACAGCAGAGGGGATCTGTAACAAGGTGGGCCAGCGGATTCCCCATTGCTTATGGCTGAGTGCACGTCCTGTTTACTCAGGCTGTGTGCTCTTTTCCAGATCCTCACACTGAGATCTATTTCTCCCTCAACAGCTGCACTTAAATCTCAATGTGCCAATGAGAGGTAAATGCATAAAGCAAGGGGATATTAAACACTTAACTCTCTGTGAATTTCCCCCTCCCCCTAAAACAAACCACTTTTTTGTTGCTTTCGCAGAAGAACGTGCATGAATGTGCCACTGAAATAGTCTCCGATTCCCTTCCTTTTGGACGGTATTGCTATCTGAATTTCCCACTACCACTTCAATACCATTCGTAAACAATTTTAGGCCTGCACTGATGTTTGGAATACATTAAACCATTTTTTTAAAAACAAATGTAAACTGGCTATTCATTAACTAAAAAAATGTACAAAAGGTTATGATAGAAAGGTATTTTGCAACACACCTTATGGCTTGAGCTGTCATATAAAAATAGAAAATCAGTACAAGTATGGTGCTCGCCTCCCACGTGTGCCTTTAAATGATTGGGGAGGGCAGAGGGGAGATTTTCAATGGTTATGAATCCCATCTGTAAGAGACACCACTGAAGGGTTCTGCATGTCTGATGGGCTTACGTCATAGCCCAGTTTCTTCATGTCTTTAGTCACCACATTGAAGGAAATGGTCACAAAGCCTTGGGATCGCACCGTGATCACTAGAAATAGGAGGACAACACCATTAGCCAGTAAAGCTGGTTGAACAGTCATTAGATGTCCCACAGAATACCAGGATGTGATTGTTCTTAATACGCTCAATTAACCTCCTAAAGCATTAACAAAGAAACGGACTGGCCAAGATCTGGTCCATAGTCATAGAGGAGTTAGAGACAGTAATTCCTGATCATTTACCTTCTCGGCCTTCTCCCTGCGCTACCACTTTTGGGTCAGTGAACTCTGGATGTCTTCCTATAAGCCAACTTGGAGAAGGAGAAAAGAAAACAACTCAGTGATGTGTCATACTTGGTAGCATTTAGAATTGTTATAAGAAAGGTTCATTGTATGCACCAAAATAAAAAAAAATGTTTCCCCCTGTTCATAGTAGGAATTTTTAAAGCTTGATACATTTCCCCCCCCCTTGCTACTTATCTACTTTGATCAAAGATAAATGTCACCTCTGGATTATTGACCAGTTTTCCTTTTTTCCTAATTTCACTACATTCTATTAAATTTAAAAAGCGACAAAGAGTCCTGTGGCACCTTATAGACTAACAGACGTATTGGAGCATAAGCTTTCGTGGGTGAATACCCACTTCGTCAGACGTTAAGTTTAAGTTATTTCTGGGTTAGGGGGGGTCAGTTTATGGCAAAGATATTTTAATAACACCTAATTTTAAGGATCGGGGGGAGGGGGGGACCTAACAGCTATAACAAATATACATAAGACAGGGAAAAAGTTATGTCCATGGGTCCTCATTCAGGAGAAATTTGTGCAAGTATATGCTGCACCATTCCTTTATAGATCATCCTTTGGGTGGGTGGCTGGCCTACAGAAAATAAAAGCCTTTGGCTAACTTATTTACAGCAAGTATCAGAGGGGTAGCCGTGTTAGTCTGAATCTGTAAAAAGCAACAGAGGGTCCTGTGGCACCTTTAAGATTAACAGAAGTATTGGGAGCATAAGCTTTCGTGGGTAAGAACCTCACTTGCCTGTCTTGCATCTGAAGAACCTGTGTTGCATCTGAAGAAGTGAGGTTCTTACCCACGAAAGCTTATGCTCCCAATACTTCTGTTAGTCTTAAAGGTGCCACAGGACCCTCTGTTGTTATTTACAGCAGTATTTTAAGACTAATTTAAGGACAGATTGCGATACACCTGCTCACACTGTATACTGAATGCAATACAAGTCCTTCTGTTGACTTCATTGAGCATTGGATCAGGCACATTGAGTAATATCTTATGCTGCAAGAAGTCCCATTGAAATGAATGGCACTACTTACTTGTGGAGTACAGTACCACTAATGTTGAGGTGTCAATCTGATCGTTAAAGATTAGCATGCTAAAATTAGGAAGTGTTTACTCTCAGTGGAAGTTCTTTGATTAACCACAGTAAACCAGGGTTTAAATTTGCCCACAGATCACAAATTAAAATAATGTGAGTCCTCACACTGCTGGTTCTATTCTAGCTGCCTCATAAAGGAAACGCTCAGCCATCGAAATATTATGAAATGCTTTCCTTCCTCCCCTCCTGATCCTTTCACTCATATTTTAAAATCCCCATTATCTATCGCATTTCTACGCTACTCTACCATAAAGCAATTTCTAACACAATATACGGACAGTGCCATAATAGGCCAATTGAAGGTTAAAAAGCTGCCCAGACTTTGGGAAGAATTCCGTTTTTTCTTTCTTTAATATACATATCTGAGGCAGTACAGTGTGTTCTCTGGTGCCAGAAGTTTTCATCTGGCAAAAAGAGAAGTAGTTGCAGTGCTGTCATGATTATACTACATTGATGTGTTTATTAAAACATACAGAGGCTAACCTGCCCTACCTGATTACAACTCTCCCTCTTTAAACTCAGCTATATCCCTGCTACTTTACATCCTAACTCCACGTTATGCACTACTAGCCTATTCAACAAATAGCCCAAATCATCCCATAAGGTGTTTCTATCCTGCATGGCTGGTATATTTCAAGCTCTATTGTCAGAGACATTACAACAGCTGAATTGAACTCAGGACCCTGTGATATTTCACAAACGAACGCTGGGACTCTAGAAAATGTTTCCCCTCTGGATCACTGCTTTTAAGATAGATGGACAAATCTGTCTGAAATGTTCAATTAGCTCAGAGAAAACAGTTACTTCTGGAGTATGAATGATGGAATCTTCACTAAGACAGACTAGAGGGAATTCCGCCAATGTGTGTGGTCCTTTCCCGCACAAGGAGGAAGGGACTAGTGGACAATTCAGTTTAGAACAATTCTGAAGAACAGACAGACCAAATCTGGATTCACTGCACAATGCAGTGTCTAGACCAGCTGCACATGACCTCAAAGAGCCATTCCTTTAACAGAGTTGCAAAAAGCCATACCAAATTACATGTACCATGCAATAGTTAATATAAGTTAATCAGAACAAATAAAGTTTATAACAGGATCAGTAGTATTGGGGCTCAAGAAACCTCTAACAGTCCCACTTCATCACCAGTTTCAAGAAGCCAAATTCTGACAATGTACTAATCATCTACAGCTTGTTTCAATGTGTAATTTCCACCCACCACAGCTGGTCAGTAGCAGAAATTCAGAATTAACCAGTTGGAGGGAGAGTGAATATGAGTTTTTCCAGCAATCAATGCATCATTATCAGGATGTCACCTGACAATTTACTAAAAACCAATAAAAGAGCCATCTGCAGCGCAAGATCAGTGGCTACGGACTGAATGCATCTTGCCTTCTGATTTTATTGCACAAAAGGGAATACAGTTACTCAAACAGATTAGATTTTTAAGTAGACAAGGTGCACAGTAGCCAAGCATATTGTAGATTCTTACAGCAGGTATACTGTTAGGTCTAGTGCAGGGATCGGCAACCTTTGGCATGTGGCCCGCCAGAGAAAGCCGCTGGCAGGCCGGGCCGGTTTGTTTATCTGCAGCATCCACAGGTTCAGCCGATCGCAGCTCCCACTGGCTGTGGTTCGCCGTCCCAGGCCAATGGGGGCTGCGGGAAGGGCGGCCAGCACATCCCTCGGCCCGCCCTTCCCACAGCCCCCATTGGGAGAGAGAAAATTTGGATTCTAATGACAGTCTTGACCCTAATTTGCTGCACAATGAAGGACAAGTCTTGCAGTCCCCGTGTCTTAGATTTCCACAACTGTAAAATGGGGCAAATTATTGCCATTGCAAGGAATTTTCAAAAGCACGTAAGTGACTGTCAATGAGACTTGTACTTCCAAGTAACTCAAGAGTTTTTTTAAAATTAAACCCATTCTTTACACGTGGAGGCTGATTTCCATAGCTGCCTAATGGATTTCAATGCCCAGGTCCCCTTCAATTAAATAATAATTCCTAGTTCTCATCATCATAATTTTATCATCACTTGTCATGAATAGATCTCAAAGTGTTTTACAAAGGAGATAAGCATCATTACGCCCAATTTTATAGATGGGGAAATTGAAACACAGAGGTGAAATGACTTGGCGCCTATGACCCTGGGCGACTTCCCGTCTGCCCCATGGGTGCTCGACTCCCCCCCGCCCCTGGCCCCGCCCTTGCCCCACCCTCGCCCTGCCCCAATTCCACCCCCTTCCCCCATGTCCCCACCCCTCCTCTTTACCGCCTCCTCCCCTGAGTGTGCCATGTCCCCACTTCTCCCCCTCCCCTCCCCCGCGGAAAGCCCTAAGCGCCACCAAACAGCTGTTAGGTGGTGGGAGGGAAGCGCTGGGAGGGGGAGGAGCAGGGACACGGCACGCTCAGGGGAGGAGGTGGTGAGGAGGGGGTGGGTGCCGGGGGAGCTTGGCTGCCGATGGGTGCGGAGCACCTGCTAATTTTTCCCTGTGGGTGCTCCAGCCCTGCAGCACCCACGGAGTCGGCGCCTATGCCCAAGGTCACCCAGCACGCCAGTGGCCAAGTCAGGAATAGAACCCAGGTTCCTGAGACACAGTCCAGTGCTCTACCCACTAGGACACACTGCTCCCTAAACCAGAGCTACTGTGGACAGGACTCAGACGTGCACAAAGACATCCCAATGGGTTTCAGGACTAACACCTTAACCACGTGCCCACTGCAGCTGGATATGAGATGTCCTATTTTCTACAAGCGTTTCCTGTGAAGCCCAAGGTGTCCATCAGTTCTGGTTCTTAAATACTGATATTTTATGACAGGATGGAGGGGAAAAATGATGGAGAAAAACAATAAAAATTCATGTATATAGGTAAAAGAGGCAGTTACCGTTCAAGAAAAAAAGAACTGATTACAACCAATAAATTCAGACACTCATTCTTAGAATGTAAAAACGTCCCTTGTGGAACAGTCCAATTATATTTTTAAAACATATTATGCTGTACTTAACATTCTGCATCCTCATAATGATTGTTTTCATTATGGAGTAATTCCTGCAGCAGATGTTGCTGAATTACATGAAGAAAAATAAGTGTAATACTAGTGAAATCTATTCTAGAAAGAAATGAACACGTTTACTTCAGTTCTACGTAGGAAGCCAGTTTGCTTTGAACTCTTACTCGCACAATTTCATCGGTGTCAATGTTTTTTCTTTTGGAAGCTTCAGAGAATAGAAGGGAACGTGTGGTTGTTTGCCTTGTTATCATTTGGTGGCTACTTTTCAAAAAGACATAGGTCTATCTTGGCAGGAATACAGCAAATTAAATTTTAGAGTAAAGCTTTGATGGATAAAGCCACATTGTCCATGAAACTCATAGGAATGTCTTTAACCTTACAAAAACTCACAAGTCCGTGCACATACTGAGCAGTCAGAGACACCAGCAATTAAAACAAAAATGTCATTTCGCATGTTACCAATAACACCTTTAATTATTACCTTGTAATTTTTTGCAGCTTAGATGTGGATTCTGGAACAAACATAGGAATGGTTCTTCTATGACTGAAATGGAATTGATAAAGAGAGAGAGAACTTATTGATGAAATACACCTAATGCCAATTTCCAATACTCCTGTATTTATTATGATAATGAAAGTCCAAATACAGATTTAAAAAATGTGAGATATCCAAAGGTAATTTGTAAGTAATGAACTCAAACTTTCCTAGGTACAGCTTGCATGGGGAACTTCCAAAGGGCACAAGAGAGAGGCCAGCTAGGGGAGCATCTTCAAACCCAAAGTGGTGCAGTCCCCCCGACAGACACGACAGTGCTGAAGTGAAGACTTGCAGGCCCAGATCCTCCAAGGCATTTAAGTGCCTAGCTCCCACTGAAAGCAATGGGGGTTTGGTGCCTCAATCGCTTTGAGGATCTGGACCAGTTTGTTCAACTGCCCTCCCCCATCCACAAATTAAAACTAAACCTGCACTAAATAAAAAGCAACAAGGCTCAGGTCCAACGACCAAGGCTTGTGCCAGAGAATAGATTCCATACCTATGGTGTAAGCAAATTAGAGAGACACTTGGGCGGCACTTATTTTGGCTCTGATTATTTTACTTTAGAAAATACAACAAGAGGGAGCGGAGATCAAATTGTATTTGGGAGGAATATTTGAAACCAAAACAATAACCATCATTAACCCACCTTCCAGGTGTGAACGGAACATGAACAGCTCCATAACCTCGGACGACATCATTTCCAAAAAGATCAGGTCCATAGACACTTACCACTATTTGTGGCCCTTAAAAAGAAAATAGAAGTTAATATAAGGGCAAGGACAAGGAAGGGGATGGAGATGGCCCTATAATTTCTTAAACTCATTCCTAATTTACTGTTATTTAACATTACCTGAAAGCAAGTGTCAAGAACTGCAGGTCCAAAAATGTATTTATTTACCTGTATTAGGGAACTAAAAGCCAGTGGGTATAAGAAAGCAAACAGTGCTAACTGTATTATTGAATTAGAGTAAAGCTTTCTGGTTTCTAAGAAATAGTCTCATTCAGGAAAAGTAATTTTAAAAGATTAAAAGAAATCTGGTACCCCTCAGAGTGCACAGAATCTATTCCAAGCAAGTTTAATTGCCAGAAATGATAAAGGGGTAGCCCACAGTAATTTCATCTTGGGAAACTTTCAAAAAATGATTTGCCTAAAAGCACCATCAAGAGAAAACACAAACTGGACTCAACAGAACAAAAGTCAAAAATTAATCTATAATGTTGGGCTTTCCTTCATTCACAAGGTAAAAGGTGACATGCAGAACCATGCATATTTGTGACTCTCCAACAATTCCTGGAACACAGTCTCCCTTATTCAGAAGGTCATGCCAGCGTATGCTATGAAGATGCATCAAAGGACTCTCAGCCTACCATTCCAGAACTACAATCTTCATGTACCAAATACCTGTATTCAGCCATACATCTTCTTTGTGGTTTACTTACAGCCAGAGGGGTTAGTACTTTTAAAGGTGATGTCAATTGGAAAATTCCACACAAGGGCTTGCTGTGCATCTCTGTTTTTAGAGGTGATCTGAGATATTCCCTCTTCCAAACCCTAAAACAAGAGCTTACATATTGTACAAATACAAGCTGCTGATATTTACTCACATTACAGAGTGGAAAGTGCATATGCTTATAGCGAATATAAAACTTCTCTGCCCGTTTATAGACAGACCATCAGGGCCAAGTTCCAGTCCCTGCACCAAAGAGCTTACATTTTTAATAACCAAAGCTCCTTCCCTTCAATTTGTACATACAATATTTTGCATGTGCAAATGCAGGGTTGGGCGTACAAACTGATGCAAAATTAAACCCATTTAAAATCTGACCCTTATTCCTACTAATTTGCAAGTAGCTAATCTTATCAACATTTATGAAAAGCATTGACTGGATTCATAATAGCTAACAGAAGTGTTTTGAATATGTAAACCACAAAACAAGGGATAAGTATAACTAAACCAACAACACACAGCACATACACAGCATTCTAGTTTTTCAAAGCACTGTACCAACATTAATAGATCTCTGCACTTCCTCTGTGAAGTGGGGAAGGAATAATTCGTCTCATTTTCTAAATGAGGGAATAATAAAACACAGAAAAGTGAAATGATTTGCTCAAAATTCAGAGGGAGAGATGGTATTAGAGTTCAGGATATATTCCCAGGGCTGTGCTCAATTCACTAGACCAGTGGTTCTCAACCAGGGGTCTGGGGCCCCCTGGTGGGCCACGAACAGGTTTCAGGGGTCCGCCAAGCAGGCCCAGGGTTAGACTCGCTGGGGCCCAAGTCAGAAAGCCAAAGCCCTGCCATGTGGGGCTGAAGCCCAGGGCCCTGAACCCTGCCACCTGGGGCTGAAGTTGTAGCCTGAGCAACTTAGCTTTGTGGGGCCCCGGACAATAGCCTTGCTTGCTACCCCCTAATGCCGGCTCTGGCTTTTATATGCAGAAAAAAAGTAGTTGAGGCACAACTGGGTCGTGGAGTTTTTATAACATGTTGGGGGGAGGGGGGGCCTCAGAAAGAAAAAGGTTGAGAACCCCTGCACTAGACCACTCCACCTTTCCAAGACAAGAAAGGGAAAGACACTTGTAGTCATCCCCCTCCCTCAAATCCTATTGTGTGCATTTTCTGAGTTATTTGTATTATTTGTATTAGTGTAGCATCTAGGAGCCCCAGTCCTGGACCAAGACCCCATTGTGCTAGGTGCTGTACAAACACAGAACAGAGTCCCTGCCCCAGGGAGCTTCCATGTCCAATACCCACAAGCCTAACCTATTGAACTCAACGCAGCCCGGTGGTATGGGATTTGGGGCCCCGGCTCCAGGAGGCACAGCCAAGGGCGGATGCAGCGGGCGGCTCGAGGGGCACTTACCGTGGTGGGGGCCCAGTCGTGGCCGTAGACGAAGCAGTACTTGCAGTAGAGATCGTCAAACGCTGGGAACTTGGGAAGAAAGGGAAGACAAGGTTACTGGCCTGGGGGAGCCCCGTCCTTTTACTGCCGACCCCGAGCGCCCGGCCGGCCCCCGCTTACCTGGGCGCTCTCGATCTGCCCGTTCACCATCAGCAGGAAGACGGTGGGGGCTGCGGCGGCGGCGGCTGCTGCCATGGCGCCGGGGGCCGATCCCGGCCCGTTGCTAAGGGCCGCTCTCCCGGCCCGCCTTGGATACCGGCCCGGCGGACGGCGAGGCGGCCGGGCCAAACTTCCTGCCACGGAGCGCAGCGCGAAGGGGGCGGGAGGTCAAGGGGTAGAACCCTGCCTCTCCAGAAAGGGGAAGGGGTCTCCCATCCCCCACCTCACTTACTCCCCAAAGGGAGGGATCCCTCCCCAGGAGAACGGGGGTGTTACCCCTACGAGGAGAGCCCCCCCAGTCCCTCACCCCAAACAGAAGGGGGGGCCCTTTCCCCTGCCCAGTGAGGGAGGTTCATGGGGGAGGTGGTGCCAGGCGGGGGCCCTGGCTACAGCAGGGCAATCTGCTCTGATTCACACACCCCCACACCCCCCCGGCTGTCACTCAGCAGAAGCGTGTCTCTTTTAGGGTGACCAGACAGCAAGTGTAAAAAATTGGGACAGGGGATGGGGGGTAATAGGAGCCTATATAAGAAAAAGACCCAAAAATCAGGACTGTCCCTATAAAATCAGGACATCTGGCCAGCCTAGTCTCTTTCACCAGCAGAAGTCGGTCCAATAAAAGATATTATTTTACCCACTGTGTCTCTCTAGCATCCTGGGACCCACACGGTAACACTGCCACTGCAAACGCACCAAAAGGGCCCCAGCGCGATTCATAGATTCTAGGACTGGAAGGGACCTCGAGAGGTCGAGTCCAGTCCCCTGCCCGCATGGCAGGACCAAATACTGTCTAGACCATCCCTGATAGACATTTATCTAACCTACTCTTAAATATCTCCAGAGATGGAGATTCCACAACCTCCCTAGGCAATTTATTCCAGTGTTTAACTACCCTGACAGTTAGGAACTTTTTCCTAATGTCCTGCTGCAGTTTAAGCCTATTGCTTCTTGTTCTAT